ATAAGGGATCTATGTGAACAGCAATCACCCATCCTTTTTAACCTTATCACGGACTTCCGCACTCACACGCATTATAATGGGTCAGTGCCACAAATGGGGCTTGGATCAACCATGAGCCACTCCAAGGTCATTGTTGAATAGACAACAGTGGTTAGAAAGAATCCAAGATCAGATATCATTCCACAGCTGAACATTGTGACCAAGATTAAACTGCTCATGAGTACTAGCCTGGAAGTGTAACAAGATAACATTCTTCCCGGCCCAGGGAGTCCAAATTCATCAACTTGTATTCCACGGAATCTAAATTGCATCAACTTGTATTTTTTGTTTTTTAAGTTTTTTGGGTTTTTTTCATTGCTGTTTAACAAGTTCAAGTAATTTCAGTCACTTACCGGTCAGCAACTTCTACATCGAAACAGAACCGTCTGTCAATGGAATCAGTATGCCTTTTGGTACATTCTTTCAAAAACACGGTGTCTCCATCCCCCTGCAAGAAATCATTTTTAAACACCCTCAAAAACTACAGCACAAACCTCTGCACAGGTTGTATTTGAGAGGACGGACAAGATTCAGAATCTGAAGTGTCTTTGTCTTACCCTTTTTCAAATGACTTTTACTTTTTACACTATTACTAATAAGCTTAAAGTGTAATCATTTTTCGGTCATACTCCATCCCTTATTAGAAAGCTGGTGTCGTAATGGGTTAGAGCATTGGGCTACTAAACTTCAAGATCAATAGTTCAAACCCACTAACTGCTCCACAAGAGAAGATAAGGCTGTCATTTCCATTTGTTTGATTTTCTGTGTGTGAAGCCCAGTGTAGGTCCATCTATAGAGGCAGTGACTGGATTAACGGTTTCTTGGGGTGTGGCTGGGAGAAAGACAGTGCTATGGCTGGGAAAGTTGGGGGAGATAAGGAGCTTATAATACTGAGTACAAAAAAGAAGAAAATGTTCTAAAATTGACTGTAGTGGTGACTGCACAACTCTTTTTAATATGATTAAACCATTAAGTTATATGATATGCCGTCTCAGAAACCCAAAGAACAGTTCTGCGGTTCAATACTGGTCGAAGCAACCTTGTCTCCGACTATGGCGTAGAGTGGCCTGCAGCTTCGATTTGAAACACGTGATAATGGCTGTCCTTCCTACACAGCCGACTCCTGTGGTTTTCTTGCTCTTTGCTTTCTAATGACTTGTCAGACTTTGTCTTGTTGTTTCTTTCTTTGGGAGGAGGCATAAACTAAGTGGGAATACTTAAGTAAGAACCCTGTAAGCCTAAGTGAACAAGGGTAAAATACACTATCAATCACTCGACTTCACAGCTGCAGGCTGGAGCGTGGAGGTGTGCCAGTCAGATCCCCTGAGTAAACACTGACTGAGCAAGACACAAAATAGCCGGAAGGGGCCACCTTTTAAGGAGAAATGGCACCTTCCAGCTGCTTGGTCTTCCACTAACAGTGGCACATAAGAGACTGCTGTCCTCTTTGAAAAACAAAACAAAAAATCGGACTCTCAAAGCCTCTGCAGGTGATTCCGAAAACACAGGGATTGGCCTGCTTGTCTCTCGTTTGTGGTCTCTCTTCTACTTATAAACGAAAGGAAACAAGCATTCAAACCGCAAAGCTGTTTAAAAATTCATCACCAATCCAAAAACAAAACTACCATGGACTCAATTCCGCTTCCCAGTGACTCTATAGAGGACCTCCAAGATTTGAAAATCTTAACGCGACAGCCTCATCTTTCTCACAAGGAACAGCTAGTGGGTTTGAACCATCAACTTAGGAGTTGCCATTCTGATGCCTAACCCACGGTGCCATGAAAACAAATGGCATTAAAGTGACACCCTCAGAGGCTGCCTCTCTCATACCAGATACAAAGTGTAACACAAAACACTTACGAGTTTGCCTCCAGACCTGTGCTCAAATGGGATCATGTTGAGCCTCTTGGCTGTTTTCCGATACATGCAGTAGTGTTTTACCCAGCTGGAACCAAACGGAGCAGGCCCTTCGACAAACAAATAGAGAGCGTCAGGTTTTTCTCCATAAATGACCAGATTTTATAACGAAGAGTTCCAAAGACATTAATCAAGACAGAGAACTCAACAAACAGCGAATTACACAGCTCAATAAAATGAGTCAGAAATACTGTAAATTCCAACAAAGGGAAATAATGTAGGAAAATGAGAAGGCCCGGGTACATAATTTCAAGAGCTTCAGACATTTGCAGTAACATAAGAGTGAACTCAGGGCATATTTTTTCAGTTTTCTAGAAAAACTGACAGTTATTGCATACTTGACAATGAGGCTTTAAACAGATTCAAACAGGTTCAGTCATGGTTGGTGTGCTATCAAACCAACTTGAAGTTTTAAAATTTGGGTAAATCAAGAAAATCACCAGAACAGAAACACAATACAGGTAAAGGGCCTCGAATGAGAGACTCTGAAAGAGGTGTTGTGAGCCCCTTCAGGAGCCTGATGGGGAAGGCTAATGAGCCCCGGTGGCACAGTGGGTTAGGTGGTAGGTTGCTTGCTGCAAGACTGGCAGTGCAGTGGTTTAAGTAAAGCAGCAGCTCACAAGTAAGATGAAGGTGTTTGCTCCTATAACACTTCAGCTAAGACTCTCCAAGGAGCAGTTCTAATCTATCCAAAAGTATCTATTAGTCAAAATTCATTCGTTGTCAAAAGATAGAGCGTCTGGAGTCTTAAAGGCTTGAAGGTAAACAAGCGGCCATCTAGCTCAGAAGCAACAAAGACCAGCCTGTG